GCCTGGGGGACGCTCCAGGACTGTGAGACCCACGTCTGTAGAACTTTTTGTTCATCTGTAGGATTTCTGTGGATCTCGTCTGGACAAGGAACTTCCTTGTCATCTGTTATTCCGAGCTGCACACCTGAGTCAGTGTCGGTGTTTCTGTGTTGCTGTGTATTTGTGTTGGTCGCGACCGGCCCCCATGGTCTGGGGAGCCCGATATTTTGGGGCTCAGCATGTATCTGAAGGATACGTGAACCTGAGCGAAGTGACAACCTCGCCATCTGATTTTGTTCTTTCAGTTTTTCTCCGGAGTGGCGCTAAGCGGTACCTTGTCACTGGCTGTCTATTTTTGTTGTTTCTGTTGTTTGTCTGTTTCATTGTGATTTTAGATTACCCCAAAATGGGACAACACCTAACCACCCCCCTGAGTTTAACTCTAGATCACTGGAGAGAAGTTAAGAGCCGAGCTCACAATCAATCTGTGGAGATCAAGAAGCACCAATGGATAACCTTTTGTTCCTCCGAGTGGCCAACGTTTAATTTTGGCTGGCCTCGAGATGGGAGTTTTGACTCTGATGTTATTTTTCAGGTTAAAGCTAAGATCTTCTCCCCTGGACTAACGGGACATCCGGACCAAGTGGCCTATATAGTCACTTGGGAAAATCTCTCCCTTGACCCACCGCCGTGGGTGACTCCTTTTCTCAGTCCTACACGAAGAGCCCCCCTCCCTTCTGCCCCTAATCCGGACCCTTCGACCACCTCTTTGTGTCCTGTTGTGGTAAAACAAAAGCCTGTTCTTCCCCCTGATGAGAGTGTTCCCGCTGATCTGCTGAGTGAGAATCCCCCTCCCTACCCCCCTCCCCCGCAGGCCGCTGCAGCTGTTCCAGACGAAGCCCCAGCAGAAGGACGGGAGGTTGCTCCCTCCCCCATCGCGGGGCGACTCAGAGAAAGAAGAGGACAGGGAGATTCCTCACACGTCCTGCCCCTCCGACTCGCAGGAGGGGAAGGAAACCAGTTTCAGTATTGGCCCTTCTCCGCTTCAGACCTGTATAACTGGAAAACTCATAACCCGTCCTTTTCCCAAGACCCACAGGCCCTAACGGCCCTGATAGAATCTATCCTCCTTACCCACCAACCCACGTGGGACGATTGCCAACAGCTCCTGCAAGTCCTCCTAACTACGGAGGAAAAGCAGAGAGTCATTCTAGAAGCCCGAAAGCATGTCCCGGGGGCAGACGGGAGACCAACCCAATTGCCAAACGAGATCGAGGCTGCCTTTCCCCTTACCAGACCTGCTTGGGATTTCAACACGGCTGAAGGTAGGGAGCACGTACGTCTTTATCGCCAGGTGCTTGTAGCGGGCCTCCAAGGGGCAGGGAGATGCCCCACCAATTTGGCCAAGGTAAGATCAGTAATGCAGGGAACCGACGAGCCGCCCACTGTGTTTCTAGAAAGACTTAAAGAGGCATATCGGAGGTACACTCCCTTTGATCCAGACAGCCCCGAACAGGAAGTAAGTGTTTCCATGTCTTTCATATGGCAATCAGCTCCTGATATTAGGAGTAAGCTCCAGAGAATGGAAAATTTGCAGGGGCAAGGTCTTAGAGACCTCTTGAGGGAGGCAGAGAGAATTTTTAACAAAAGAGAGACACCAGAAGAAAGAGAAGAAAGACAAAAAAGAGAGGCAGAAGATAGAGAGGCAATGAGAGATTGAAAGCGAAATAAGGAATTAAGCAGAATCCTGGCCACAGTAGTAAGAGAGGAAGACGAGGGCAGAGTAGAGAGGAAGGGAGATTGAGGGCGTGTCCAACTAGGGTCAGACCAGTGTGCCTACCGCAAGGAAAAAGGACACTGGGCAAAGGACTGTACCAAGAGAAAGAAGAAACAAAGGAAAGACAGAGCTGAAATCCTTAACCTTGATTAGGAAGGTCGGGGCCAGGAACCCCCACCCCGCCCAGGGATGGGAGGATGAGGATCAGAGACCGACAGCATGTTCCCCGACGTTGCACAGCACGCCCCCGGCCTGACCTTCGTCTCCACCCCTCCGCTCTGTCCCCTGTCCAGAGTCATCATGGCTTTTTGCCCTCAGTTGACGCTTTTACTTTGGAAAAACTACATTTATCGCAGGAGACAGCCGATCCAGCTACTCGAGGAACTGCTGTGGCCCCTGTTCCTGTTCTTCATCCTGGTGGCCATTCATCACTCGCACCCCCCAGTAGAGCACCACGACAAGCCACTGCCATCTGGCTCCAAGGACTGATCTACTCTTGCTTCCAACATCCAACGCCAGGAGAGAAGCCAGGGGTCCTGAGCAACTTTAAAAACTCCCTGGTCTCCCGGCTCCTGGCTGATGCCCGCTCAGTGCTGGGAGGCCGCAGTGCCCGAGACACACTGGCTGCCCTCGGGAAACTGTTGCCATTGCTCAGAGCTGCCCAAAGTGAAGCTTGGCTACAACGGAATGACCAGCCAAATGAAGAGCCCATGCTGACCACAGAGATCCTAGAGACGCTTCTGAAGAGGGCTTCCCTGGTGTCTGCAATGGGGCAAGCCCAGGACCCCCTGGCCCGCTTTCTGGATGCTGCTAAGGACTTTGCACAGGAGCTGCTGACCCTGCCCAGCCTGATGGAGCTCCGAGGTCTGCTGCGGAGGCCCAAAGGGATAGCTGGGCCCCTAGAGCTGATGTCAGAAGCCCCGTGCAGTGACAAGGGGCCTAGCAGCCCAGGTGGCCTCTCCCTCAATTGGTATGACGCCAGCCAACTAAGCCACTTCCTGGAGCCTGAGCTGGTGTCTACCCTGCCTGATAGCAGCCTCAGCTCTGCCTGCTCTGAGTTAATGGGAGCACTGGATGACCACCCACTATCACACCAAACTGGAGGAGCCGGAGCATTGACTAGAAGACATCTTTCCTCGATTCGGGATGCCTCAGGTAATAGGGTCAGATAATGGACCGGCCTTCGTCTCCCAGGTAAGTCAGAAAGTGGCCAGGTTGTTGGGAATTGATTGGAAATTACATTGTGCTTACAGACCCCAGAGCTCAGGCCAGGTAGAACGAATGAATAGAACAATTAAGGAGGCTTTAACTAAATTCTCGCTGGCAACTGGCACTAAGGACTGGGTGACCCTCCTCCCCCTAGCCCTATATCGGGCCAGGAATACTCCTGGGCCCAGTGGATTAACCCCCTTTGAAATTCTGTACGGGACCCCTCCCCCGGCTGTCTCTTTTCTTGATCCAGACATCTCTAACTTTGTTAGCACCCCTTCCCTGCAGACGCACCTGCGAGCGTTGCAGCTGGCACACGAAGAAATCTGGAAGCCCCTGGCAGCAGCCTACCAAGATGCTGTTAACACCCCTATTGCCCCCCCATCCCTTCCAACCAGGTGACACCGTCTGGGTCCGGAGGCATCAGGCTCGAAGCTTAGAGCCTCGCTGGAAAGGACCGTGCACAGTCCTCCTCACCACCCCTACAGCCCT